CTGTGTGTCTCCCAGGTGGGGCTGCTTGTGCAGAATGATCCCTGTGTGTCTCCATAGTGGGGCTGCTGGTGCAGAATGGCCCCTGTGTGTCTCCCAGGTTGGGCTGCAGATGCAGAATGGCCACCGTGTGTCTCACCCTCTGAAGCGCAGCCCCTCCTGTATGAAACGTACGTTGGAACGGAGGGAACTCCATGTACTTTTTTTTGTCGTCGCTCAGCGGCTCATTGCTCATATTTCCCAGCAGGGGGCGCCGGTGTTCCGCAGCGGCTCGGCGGAGGAGGGGCCGGGGATCCACTGGCCCCCATTCCCGACACAGGGACGCAACATGGCGGAGTAGGAGCTGCGACTGGCTTTCCCGGATACAGCAAGCAGGAATTACAATCACACGCAGAACAGGACAGAAGCCCGCGGCGGCCGGAGACTGGACTCCCGGGGTTGAGGCACCGTTAAGAGCCCCCCAGCTCGCCCCCGTGGTGTACGGCGTGATCCCCGACCCCAGTCGCGCTGGGGTGTGGAGAGAGGGGCTGGGGAGAGAGGAGCGATCCGGGGGAAGAGCAGGGAAGCCAGCCTGAATTTCTGGGGCGAGAGCGGTAAGTTGGATGTTTCTTTTTAAAAAACAAACCCCAATATGATCCTGCTCTGTGGTTTGGCTTCTCTCCGGGGACTCGCTGACGCGCAGGACGAGAGCGGGTTTATGTAACTCCGGTCCTTGCGCGCAGGGAACGCACCCAATTCTGTTGTCTGGAGAATCACATTCCCGGTATTAGCTGGGAGGCAGGGAGGGAGGCTGAGAGAGAGGGAGGGAGGGCCGGAGCTGGGCTCCGCAGCGCGGACACACTGTAACCAGACCGGCGCTGGAGACCTGCGGTGAGCACAGCGGCGCTTTGTTATCGCCGGGGAGGAGGAGGGGGAGTCGATTTGCGAGCAGAGGGATGGATGCGTGCGTGGGGAGCGTCGCGAGGAGAAAGATGGAAGCGTGCGTGGGGAGGGTCGCGAGCTGTGGGGTCGGGGGGAAGGAAGGGGTTCAGCTCTCTTCTCCCGGACAGTTCTCGCCCCCGCCCCCCTCTCACTCCCCTGTGGTGCCCGGGCAGGCAGAGTCGGACCCTGATGCCGCCGCAGAGCTCGCAGCAGATGAATATTGTCGCCCGTAACCCGATCTCGATGTCGCGTCGCGCGTGTAGCGATGGCGGTGTTGACACAACACGGCTGGCGGGGGCAGAGGCATGCGGCCGCTGTCTCCCGGCCGGGCCGGGCCGCCAGGCTGCGCGCACCGCTTGCGAGAGCAGTCTGTGTAGCCCTCTGTCCTGTCAGGATTGCTCTTGCGCCTCAGTAGTGACGGGGGCGTGGGCTGTCACCTGGAGTGGAGGGGGTCTTGGGCAGCAGACCCCTGCTGGCCAGTGCGGCGATCCAGCTGCTGTGAGGTGGCCCCGTGCGCCGTCTCTGGGGGTCTGTCCCAGTGCCTGAGGACACAGTGAACCAGGACGGACAGAGCAGCGCAGGGGCTCATCGGCAAGCAACCCCTCAGCGCCGCCCTTCGCTCTCCTGGGCCCCTCTGGTTCTGTCCAGTATCCCTTGCTCGACAGGCGTGAGTGGGAGTGGGAGAGCTGCGCTGCTGTGCAGGAAAGGCCTCGGGGAATCCCGCCTGACTCCTGGCGCTCCAAAGCCCCTCTCCTGAGCTGTCGGAGCCTTGTTGACCTTCACCCAGCATCTGAGGAGTTCAGCTCCTCAGCCTCCATCCCACCTGGACAGCTTGTCCCCTCTGCCTGGGCAGTGCCGGGATCTGGTCCAGTCAGCTCGTCCCCTCTGCCTGGGCAGTGCTGGGATCTGGTCCGGTCAGCTCGTCCCCTCTCCACGCGGTGCTGGGATCTGGTCCGGTCAGGTCGTCCCCTCTGCATGCGGTGCTGGGATCTGGTCCGGTCAGCTCGTCTGCTCTACCTGGGCCGTGCTGGGACTGGCTTTAGAGCGAAGAGCTGTGCAGAAGCTCAAGGCGCTACTGGGAACAAGGCCACAGGCTGTGGCGTGCATGGAGAAGTGTGCTCTGACCAGAGCCCAGCCGAGGAGGACCAGGCGTCTCCCCTCCTGCACCCCTGAGGAGCGGGGCTGGGTGCAGTCCAGCCGCACCAGAGAGACTGACTGACTTCAAGGTGTGTTTGTGAGCCAGCTCTCAGGACCACAGGAGTTGAAGGATTGCCACCGGCTCTCGGATTTATAAAGCACTGAGAAACGAGCCATTCGGCCCATCTGGCCTGTGCAGCAGGATCTCATCCAGCCATTTCTTGAAGGATGTCAGAGAATCATCTCCAGCAGCAGGGTTGGGTAACTTGTTCCAGACTCCCACCACTCTTTGAGTACAGAAGTGCACAAGACTGCTGCCTCTAGTGTAATTTGATCTGTGATTCCATGCAGGGCCTGATGCAGAAGGCTGATGCTTATTCTCAGTGGCCTTACATGCTGGTTTTAATTTAGCAATGGCTGTGTACAGCTGCCCAGCTGCGCAGGGCGTGAGCGCGGCTGTTCTGCAGACCTGCCCAGCTGCGCAGACCTCCTGAAGATTGTGACAGCTGAGCAGTGTGTCTGTGTCTGTAAGAGTGCTGGTGTGTTATGACAAAACCTTGCTACTGGTGCCAGACCAGCAATTAGTAATCAGACCTGTAATTAAGGGCTTTGTTGTGTGCAGCAGGAAGTCACAGCACTGAGATGAGCGTGTGCTGATGAGTGTGGAAAATACTGGTGGACTGTGGTATGGAAGCAGCCAGAGCTGACATTCTCGGACCCGGACCCTGTTCTCGAGTGGCACTAGAACGGCGCTGGACTCAGGGGGATCTGTTCTGGAGCGGCGCTGGGGGGAGGGGGCTCTGTTCTCGAGCGGCGCTGGGGCGGGGGGCTCTGTTCTCG